ACTTTCTCAATTTATTTTTTTATTTATGCGAAATAGTCAATAAAAAATTGTAACATTCCAATAATATCTATGAAACTATACTTTGGGATATTTATCATGGTGCTGATTTTTATATGGAAATATTATTTTCCTTTAATGTTCCCTACAAAGAAATTGCCATGTCTGAAAAGCATCTGTGATACACAAGGTAATTTCTGATTGACCTTGCTTGGTAAATATTGATTTTACACCGTTAGTTAATATTGATTACCTGCCATGTCATATTTAGTTATCACACCTTTAAATTCATTTGTGAGATATGCCTTTTAATTTGATTTACAAACTTTATTAGGAAGTTATATAGTCTCCACCAAAATAGACAAAGATTATCCCTTTAAGCTGTCCCAGACTTACTAAAACAAAAGACAAAATTTAATTTCTTATACCATTGTTTATCTTCACATCTTAACAAAAAAGAGATAATAAGAATTTAGCTGAAGAACATTTCTTGTAGAATATTTACCAATATATAAAATTATGGGAATATAATCCTATTATCCATTTATTTTCAAATTACACATCACAGTGTTATGATGGGTTATATGAAAGATTTGAAATTGGCTTTATTTTATTACTGCATCATATGAAAGCTTCTGTTTATATCCCATTTTTGTTAATTTAAAAGTAGTCCAGACAATTTATTTTGTTTGTTTAACACTTTTAATAAGTCCTAATTTTGTGATATTTTAACAACTCATTTATGCAAATAAAAGCAATTACAAATTTATAACAAAAATAGTAGTTCCATTTTTATTAAACCCATATTGTTGCATATCAAATTTTTTTCCATCCCTTTTACAGAATAATTGATCTTCACCCATAAGTTTAAATTTTAAAAAAATACATATTGTATTTTATCTTTTAAAAAAACAACAATATTTTAAATTCAAAGCTTAAAAAATTCCAATAAGTGTATTTTTATGACCAATGACTTTGGAGTTGAAAATTACCACCAGCTTTCAAAATTATAAATATGGAGTCTGCGCGTGGAAATGCAATGTAATTTGGCGGAAACTATTTATGCTTCAAATCCACAGGAAAAAAAAAGGGGGGGGGGGGAGAATAGGGGAGGAAAGGGGTCCTATAATGTAGACATTTTTGGAATTTTATGCCCATGATCTATTTGTCAGATTTTTTTCAAACCATAATGTAATTTGGCGGAAACTATTTATGCTTCAAATCCACAGGAAAAAAAAGGGGGGGGGGGAGTATAAGGGAGGAAAGGGGTCCTATAATCTAGACATTTTTGGACATCTATGCCCATGATCTATTTTGCAGATTTTTTTCAAACCAAGCTTAGCTAAATTACTCAGAACTCACCAGCGCTTGTTATTGGGTTGTCAAGCCAATGAACTGTTTGGATAGCTGCTGGATGCACTCTGTGATAAAGCAAATTTTGGGTTTGAGTTTTGGCAGGGGCGGGGAAAAGTGGGGTGGCGGTGGTGGTGCGGCTGATGCTCCCTCCAAGAGTTTGACTTCATGTGTGTGTTAAGAGCAGCACAACTTTCAAGTTCTCCCCCTTCAATAAATAAAATAAAGGATAAAAGTAATATTGAAGTCTGGGCAAACTGCTCTATCATGACCATTCAAAAAGTAAATTTATTAACTCTTTCAGCTGTGACTTTATAGGTCATGTGACATCCTCATTGTGTAGTGATGCTATGAAAAATGTGCATTATAATGTTATTAACTTCTCTTCCAGCAATCAAATACACCTGGGGGGTGTTATGCCTTTTAAGCAGAGCCTCTTTTAAGAAAAAAATAGGTTGCTTAAAATTGTGACATCTTATATGCTAGTTCAGTAGCTCATTTTTAGAGGCGAAAAATGAGAAAAAAAAATAGAAAACGATTTAAAATCATTTATTCTAATGCTGCCAGTTGTTTCAATCAAGCATTTACAAAAAAATTCACACACATTCCTATAACAAGAAAATACACACATTCGTATAATAAGGAAGCACAAACATCAACATAAGAAGAAAGTACAAACGTTCAAATATTTGTCTAAGAAGCTAGTACACAATAACAAAAACCAAAAATGAAGCATAAAATGCTTTAATATATTTTAAAATGCTTTAACATTTTTTTAATTACACATTTACATAATTTATTTAAAGCTATTTGAAAACAAAATTATCTCAAGAGTGCACTATTATTTTAAAAATGTGAATAAAAATTATATTTATGTCATTCAGTATCTTCAGCTAATAAAAAAGAAGAAATGATATCAGAAATAAAAGAATGTTATTATAAGATGTTAATCATCTTTTGTAGCAAGCTGTATAAAAAGGATTACATATAAAAAATGTTGTCAACCTTGTAGAGCAGGGGTCGGGAACCTTTTTGCCTGAAAGAGCCATTGACACCACATATTTTGAAAAGTAATTCTGTGAGAGCTATACATTATGTTTAAAACTAAAAATTCAAGTAAAATGTGTGCATTTTGTGTAATTTCAACACTAAAAATGCAATAATTAGGTCTCTGAATTCTTCTTAATAACATTGTCATGCTGTTGCTAATCAATAATGAGTATTTCTTACCATTAATGCAACTTTCTTTTTTATAATCGAACATTTGCCAGTCAGATGCAGCCCTCAATAGAGCCACATCTGGCCCGCGAGCCATAGGTTTCCGACCCCTGTTGTAGACACTGTCGCCGCTTGGAAATACATTTGACAGCAAGGAGGGAAGGCCTGATCACATTTGAAACACATTGATTTCTATGGATTTAATTTCGATTTAATTCAACATTTTTTAAGCATAATTACATGAACATTTATTTATAATACCAGTGGGTAAACACTTCAAATGTAGGGCTGCATCGTTCGCACACAAGCTCTTCTGTTTACACAAGCTCTTCTGTTTCTTTTACCTGCTTTCAAGTACAACCCAACCGTTTTGTTATGGTGGGGGGTAGCACACATAAACAGTATGCCATCCAGGCTAAGGATGCCATGCTATGCTTACCATCACCTATACAAGACAACCAGGGTGAGCAGGAATGGGAAATCATTTAAGGAATTAACAGGGATTCTCTTTCATAACACCAAGTTGTTAAGATGGATACGATTTTAAGAGACAAGGAACAAAATTATAAAATTAACTATTCTATTGTCAATTCTAGCTGCTTATTAAGAACCCACCCCCCCCCCCACCNAAGCTAAAAATTATGTTTAATTTTTTTTTTTTGTTATAAAGAAAACAAAGCAAATAAAAGAATTTTGAATGACATAAGTCATTTCTTAGAATACGGTATGTATAATATATATACATTTTGATAATATTTTGTACATCTAATAAATATAAATTTTAATAACGTATTTTGTACGTTTCTTTAAATAGAATCTACAGTAAAATATGAATCTTAAAACTATTAAAAAAGGGAAAAAAAAAGGGGGGGGGGGGGGGGAGAGGGTGCGTGTAAGACTTGTAAGTCGAAAAGTACATCCTGATTCACATTCCTGAGAATTCTTACATTTTTTTTTTCAACATAACAAAACTGATGTACAAATTCAGCTCTTAGAAGATAAATACAAATAAGCAGCTGAATTGATTACTGCAATGCACACGCACATCAACACAATATTTACTTTAAAAAATGTTTTTTTTAACAAAGCCAATGTGGCGTACTTAAAAGCTTCACAACTTTGGTCAGCACAAGTTCTTCAAAACAAAAATAACAAAAACTGCAAATTAATCAGTCTACATGAGCACCTAAAGTTGGTCAAGTGTTCATGATCCTAGGGACTAAGTGCAGAAAAACAATGCCCCTTAGGTTATTCTGCTCAACTCTCTGTTTGCACAGCCAGTGGTGGCATCATTAATTTTTGGCTAAGTTGATCAGACCAGACTCCACTGTAACCAAAGCCAGATAAACTTATCAGAAGCTCTTGCAACAGGTTGCAGGCTGGGGTTTATCATTGGCATCCTCAGGCAAGTCAGAAAAGGGAATGAGCTTTTCTGCTTTAGACAAGGATATCAAGAAGATTTTATTGCCCTCAGCTAACCCAACTCTTCCTAAACTACATTTCAATGCATTACACACGCCTTCATTATTTCCTATCTTTTTTATCTTCCTCGTCCAACCTGTCCTCCCACCATACAACCCGTCCTCCCACCATACAGCCCATCCTCCCACCATACAACCCGTCCTCCCACCATACAACCCATCCTCCCACCACACCAACCGTCCTCCCACCATACAACCCGTCCTCCCACCATACAACCCGTCCTCCCACCATACAACCCGTCCTCCCACCATACCAACCGTCCTCCCACCATACAACACCTCCTCCCACCATACTCCTGTCCTCCCACCATACCAACCGTCCTCCCACCATACAACACATCCTCCCACCATACACCCCATCCTCCCACTATACCAACCGTCCTCCCACCATACCACCCGTCCTCCCACCATACAACCCATACTCCCACCATACAACCCATTCTCCCACCATACAACCCGTCCTCCCACCATACCAACCGTCCTCCCACCATACCACCCGTCCACCCACTAACAACCCATCCTCCCACCATGCATACAACCTGTCCTCCCACATGGAAATCATTTTGATCACATCGATTACTGACTGACCTGCTGGCTACAAGAATCACACGGCAATGATTTTGATCACAATAATTATTGAACAAGCACTTCAACAAGGTTTCAACAAATCTGAATTCACCAGTGGGTCCCAAACACTTCGGACAGACCCCAAAAATTAGATAGGGCAAATAGTAAATTTTAAGTGCTCAGATCTATTATATTTCTCCAAACATGGTGCGTGGTGTTAAAATAGTAGAACCCTTTAAGATCATGCGTATGCAAACAAATCCTGCAACAGCTTCCCTGAAGTGAAATTAAAAGCCGAATATCTGCTCCATAAAAAAGTAAAATGTTCTCTTGTTTTTTGTTTTTTTTAAATTTTGTCACTATTCATTTGGGGGGGGGGGGGGGGAGGAACAAGAATAAGAAATCAAAACATCCTTAAGTTTTTGTATGGAACTTGAGTTTCAGTTTAAATTAAACATAATTTTTTTTAAACAGAATATTGAAACATTCCAGCCATGTCTGCCGCCATTTATTCCCATGTGATGTACACATTGTTTGAGTCTCATAATGGGTTTAATTATTCATGGGAATATACGGTAAGATGTATTATGCTGCTTTGTTTAATATTGTTAGAATTAAACCTGAAATTACGGTTTGAAAAAAAAACAAGATATTCTTAGAGCAGCTGAGGGTAAATTACAAGAGAGATTTTTTTATATCAAGTGATAAGCAAAAAAAAAAATTTTTAGTTAACACATTACTGATATAAACCTAATTTTAAAAAGTTACACTAGATAACTTTAAGATAAAAAATTATTTTCTTCTAAACTGACTAGATTGAGAAAAAAATATTTTGTTGTTTTGGGGGGGGGGGGGGGGGGGCGTCATGTACCAAAAGGTTTGGGAACCATGGCATCATAACTAACTAGGTCACAGGTTATACTCTATCATGGTATACAGGTCACAGGTTATTTTCTTCCGATGGCCAGAACGTCCCAACGTTTACCTCCTGAGGGTCAGTGCTGCCAGGTGAGCTACGATGATTAAACCAAAACTTGTCCACATGAACAGGCCAGGTGCCAACACATCCCAGAAACCCGAGGACATACCTGGAAGGTGCAAAAGTTTATTTATGACACACCTGGAAGGTACAAAAGTTTACTTATGACACACCTGGAAGGTACAAAAGTTTACTTATGACACACCTGGAAGGTACAAAAGTTTACTTACGACACACCTGGAAGGTACAAAAGTTTACTTAAGAAACTACTTGAAGGTACAGCAGTTTACTCATGACACACCTAAAGTACAGTGCAGCTAATCGGTTAGTTATAGCTTTCTTATTGACCAACTGTTATCAAAAGTTATCACATTAAAACATAAAGTGGTCTTTGATGTCAAAAATCATATGACATCAAAACATAATTTGTCTTTTATGATAAAAAAAATTAATTTACGTGGTGATCTTCCAGAAGTCTCCCAGTGCATACTCCTGCTAACAGCGGACTTCCATTTGGCCAGTCGCTCTGAACGTTCTATGTTTTGGGAAGAAAATTTAAAACAAAACAACTCGTGCAAGAACTGATTTCCAACTAACAATTTTCGGAATTTGAGAAGATTATTATTTTTTAATTATTACATGGTCCATTCAACACTTTCTACAAAGTATAAGAAAATAAATTTGAGTAATATTAAACAATCTATAATAAGCTTTTACACTGAATTTGAAACCACTTCAACCTTCACCCTCTTCTAAAATTAATTATCATCCTAATTGTCTAAAAACCAACAACACGTGTCTTGTAGTGTCTTGTGGTGTCTTGTGGTGTCTTGTAGTGTCTTGTAGTGTCTTGTGGTGTCTTGTGGTGTCTTGTGGTGTCTTGTGGTGTCTTGTGGTGTCTTGTAGTGTCTTGTAGTGTCTTGTAGTGTCTTGTGGTGTCTTGCGGTGTCTTGCAGTGTCTTGTAGTGTCTTGTAGTGTCTTGTAGTGTTATTTACTTTTTGGCCACAATTAATTTTTGGACCCTTTAATTACTTTAAATTAACGGTGGCATCGGGACTGACCTTGGGAAGTGATCGTCGGCTCAAAGACATCACATGTGATTGTACTCTGATTATCTCCTTCTAAGTTTGTCCAGACGTCGATGCCGTGGGCAGCTCCAGCAGCCATTGCTGCCCCAAGGGCAGTCGTCTCAGTCATGGATGGCCTCACTTTAATAAAAAAAAACATTCCAATAAGCATTGCTCGTAATTATTGGACAGCAGTCTTGTAATTAATGGACAGCAGTCTTGTAGGTAAAAGACAGCAGTCTTGTAGTTAAGGGACAGCAGTCATGTATACAACATAAAACAAAGTTTACATGCACTGAAAAAACAAAAGGAAACTTATTTTTCAGCAGTCCTTTCATTATTGTCCACACTGTCTAGTGCAGTGTTTCCCAAGCTTTTTTTGTGCCATGCCCCACTGAAGCCTTTCTAAAATTCTTATGCCTCCCCCCATGTATCATATACATAATTTTTAATATCCAAAAATAGGGTTGTTCCCTGAAGAAACTTCAATGATAGGTTTTAGGAAGAAATCACTAGGAAATCGGTGAGGAAACGTAGTAAGAAAATTTTCAAAACATATAATGGAGAACTGAAATTCACTTTTAATTAACGCTTATTTCAAATTGAGACTTTAACGATTCTCCTTTTAACATAAAGTTAAATCATAGTAGATGGTTGGTTTTCAACTTTTAGACAGCTCATTTTTCAATTGCCCCCCTGAAAAATCAAATTGCCCCCCTGTGGGGCGTGGGTCCCATGTTGGAAAACATCGGTCTAGTGCATGAACTTAGAATTACTTCAAATATGTCACACAAAAGAACTAGCCAGAAATTTAATAGAATACAATATTAATTATTTCCTATATAAATTACAACAATAGGAAAAATTCAAAGCTCCTTCTATAAAGAATTTAATTTTTTATGTTTTCACTTGCATGTTTAACGACCATAAGAAATGGAATGTTTAAAGATTTAATTTTTAACATGCTGAATGGATTTTTTTTTAACCCTTGGTGGGCACCCCAAGTGCAATCATAGATCATTTTTGTGAACTTATGACATCACACTTTTTGTAAGTAGCATCACACATAAGCACAATCACATAAAATTGACTGTATATGAGATGACATCATACATTGATATGTAGAAAAAAACATAAGCACCATCTAAGGAATGAAAGAGATGGACTGCACATGACATCAGGACAATCAACTTACCCACTTTGATCCCAAGAATGTCTGCCTGTATCTGCATGAGCAAAGAGTTACCAGTCATTCCCCCGTCTACCTTAACACTGGTGAGGTCAAGGCCACTGTCTTTGTTCATGGCATCCAGCAGCTAAATAATTTTTAAAAAAAAATAATAATAATGTTTTTAGAACAACTAACTCCTGGTTTATTAAATGAATTGTATTCAACCATAAGTATTATTTAAAAAATCCAAATGTACTGTTTAAACCCTTTAAAGCCTTAGCCATCCCTAACCAATGTCAAGGGTAAGGACATCACCACAGTTGACCTTTCACCTTTACAGCTTCCCACCCTTAACGTTGTCAGCTCTTCTTTGACAGGCTTTACATTTTTCCTGACCTTCTGTCTACGCCAACAGTGTAAATTTTGCTTCCATGAGAAAAGTAGCTGACAGATCCATTTGCGCTTTGGTAAATTAGCAGAGAAAATTTTTTTATTTTAAAATGACAAAATTACCTCCTTTGTCTGGAAACAGACAGCCTCAAGGGCAGCCCTGGCAATATGTTTCTTGTTGGTGAACTGGGTCAATCCACAGATGATTCTGTCAAATATTGCATAAACAAAAACATTTCATAACATAAACTTGGCTAAAAAATTTCATAAAATAAACTTGGCTAAAACATTTCATAACATAAACTTGGCTAAACATTTCATAACATAAACTTGGCTAAAACATTTCATAGCATAAACTTGGCTAAACATTTCATTAAAAAAAAAACTAGGCTAAACATTTCAATGCAGTGTACTTTCTTAAACTCATTGTTTGACAAAAACAAAAGAAACTATGGCTGATAAAATGACCCTACCCTCTCGCATCATTTTGCCAGTATGGACAAAACAGACCAGAGAAAGCTGGTACGAAGCAGCATCCATGTGTGCTGTCCACTTCAGAGGCCAGTTGTTCTGAGAGTAAAAGTGTTGATAATTAGCAGACATGCTGTTGAATCTATTTAACATGTTAAAATGTGGCTCTTAAAGAAAAGGCTGCAGGATGTCATGCAATACCAAAATTTTGCGAGTCGTATACTTTCTTTAACCTTGTTAAATACTAAGAGGAACCTGTTAGCTTTTATTCAATATTCGTACAAGTTGTTATGAAGCAGAAAGTTATGAAAAGTAAAAGAAATGAAGTGCTTTTCAGCAGGAAACAATAGTGTGTAAATGGAATCCCATTTTCTCAAGTCATGTAATTATTCCAAACAGAATTTCTCGCAAGTTTAAGCAAAAGTTAGCACGAATAAAGATCGAATTTCATGGGACAAATTTTAATACTAAAACTGTGGGAACAATCTTAGCACTAAGTCTGTGGGACCAATCTTAACACTACGTGTGCGGGACTAATCTTAACACTAAGTCTGAGGGACCTATCTTAAGACTGACTCTGTTAAACATATCTTAACACTAAGTCTGTGGGACCAATCTTAACACTACGTGTGTGGGACTAATCTTAACACTAAGACTGTGAGACCTAGGTTAACACTGAGTCTGCAAAAAGCAATCTTAACACTAAGTCTATGGGACCAATCTTAACACTACATCAGTCGGACTGATCTTAACACGAAGGCTGCTCTTCAAAAATGAGAAACGGTTTTAAAAAAACCTGACCTGACAAAAAAATTAAAACCCCTGCAATGGTCAGTGCATCTGTAGAGTGTTGTTTTGTTTTTTTTACCTATTTCAGATGAGGTTGAAATGATTCCAAGGTTGTCTCTAAGCCATGCAACACAAGCTCCAGCAATAGCTATAGCACCCTGAGAGAAAGGGGTTTCAGGGGGTGGGGGGGGGGGTGATAGAATAATAAATGTATTGCTGGGTGAAAATGTAAGAATGAAAATTAATTTAAACATCTCTTAATTATAGATTTATCCTGGGGGGGGATTTACCTTTTTCTAAAAATTATTTAGATTATTTAGATTTACAGCAAAACAATATAGCGATAATTTTTTCAACTCTATTTCTTTTTTTCCATTTTTATGAGTAAATCTAAATGAATGGTTTTTCAGGTTGGTTCACATTCTTGTAAGTTGGACTAATGTTGAGTAGATAAAGTGGAATGAAACTTTGGTATTCTGAAAATTTAACAAGTGCTTTTCTAACAATTAACATTTTACAACAACGTTTAAAAGGAGTTTGGTGCTCAGGACTTATTACATTAAAAAAAAAAATCTGACGCAAGCGCATAAGTCTGTGATCATATTACAGTTTGCGCTGTGTAACTCGAACCAAAGTTAATCAAAATACTCAAAGAAAGATGTACCTCTAAGGCATACACTGCAGGCTTGTTCTTGCCCAGCTTGTAGGCCACAGTGGTCAAAAGTCCAGTCTTAGATTCAACAGGCTGTGGGGGACCCATGGAAAGATCTTCTTTAATTTGTGAAAGATTTTACAGGTTGAAGCTTTCTTCATTTAAACTACCCCCACCTCCCCCCCCAAAAAAAAATGTTATCGTGAAAAAATATTCTTTTCATAAAAGTTATTTTAAAAAAAAACAAATTCATATTTTTAATCATACACCAGTTGATGTCAACTAGTGTCTAATATAAAGTGTTTATGTGTGATATTAAGTGTGATATGTTAAGTATGAAATTTCTATGTTTAAAGAAACCAAGCAAAAATGTTCTTCTGATTCATAACCTTAATCTGAATGAGCATTGCAGTTTAAATGCCTGTAAAATAAAAATTATGATAACCAGGAGCATTCTCACAAAAAAAAAAAAATTAAAAAATATTAATAATATTACTAATTACAGTAAGGCCAGTGTTATACAACAAGAAGCAGCCAGTCCCATAGGTGTTCTTGGCTTGTCCAACTTTGAAGCAGCTTTGCCCAACCAGGGCTGCCTGCTGGTCTCCTAGGATCTGAAAAATGTGAACAAGTTTAAGGCGCAATATTTTTTGCTGGTTGTAATCCTCTTAAGCCACGTAAAAGAATTAAAACAATTATACTTTATATCCAGCCATATCAGTTTTGTGGATGGGACATAAGTGTTTAAAAAAAAAAAAGCATAGTTTTCTTGGTTTTAATTTTTGTTATAATTGTTAACACTAGTATAGGAATAAAAGTTCAAATTTTCATATTTTTGAAAGGGTTGAGAAGAAGAATTTAGTGTATGGTATTTCTTAGACATGCCTAGAAAATTACAATAAACAAAAATCAGTGATGGAATGTTGAGCCGATTTAGAACATACTAACAAGTAAAGCGGTACATTGCTTGACAATTAATCATTTCATTTAACCATGTCAAAGTTTTAACTACTTCATACCCCTGATATCTTGGTTCCCTTTAAGGCTGTGATGGCTAAGTCTCCATAAATTTCCGATGAGCTATGAATGCTGGGTAATATATTCCTTGGTATATCAAAAAACCTGGACATAAGAAAGGACTGTGTCATCATAAAAAAAATAGGATCCATTATCTCAGCCCACAGCTGAACTATAGACATTATGTCAGCACACTGCTGAGGTATAGATGATATTTCAGCACACCAATCAGCTATAAACATTATCTCGGCACACAACCGAACTACAGACGTTAACTCAGCACGCAACTGAGCTACAGACATTATCTCGGCACACAACCAAACTTATAGAAGAGTTCACAGGCCTGGCAAACATTAGTTGAATTAATATCGTATTAGAAAAAAGAAAAACCAACAACACAATTTCATCAAAACATGTTGACCTGGTCAACAAGTCCATCCATCCATCTATGCACTTTTTAACATGTCAACCTGTCCATATGGATGGATGGATCATGTGGAAAAAGAACTACAACAACTGAAAATCCAAGAATGGAAAAGAAAAGCATTAGTTAGGTCTGAGTGGAAGGAAGTAGTGAGGTGGGCCAAAGCCCTAAATGGGCTGTAGCGCCACAGGGATGGATGGATGTCAACAAGTGCAGCAATTAGAAAAAACAAGGAAAAGCTTTTCTTCAAGACAGCCCAATTATTCTAATCTCAAAGCTATTTCATGGAATAAATGAATTAAATACTGTCACAAAGTTTTTATTTTCAAAAAAAATTTGTTTACATAGTTTTTACCCTTGTTTGTTCGCTGAAGAAGGTTTCTTGTCCACACGTTCATTGTTTTGTGGCATCATGTCCTTTGTTTCAGGTTCTCCCGAATACTTTGTTTCCCTCATTCCCTTTTACCTAACCTGAATGCAGTCTCTCCACCTTATTACTTACTTTAATTCTTAACATTTTATTTCCATTTTGTTTAGCATTACACTTTGTTTATCATTACATTTTGTTTAGTATTACACTTTGTTTATTATTCCATTTTGTTTAGTATTACACTTTGTTTAGCATTGCATTTTGCTTAGCATAACACTTTGTTTAGCATTACATTTTATTTAGCATTACACTATATTTTAAAACCATTTTTAGTTACAGTGACACAGCTTATTTTTACCTGCATAAATAATCATCCCAGTCCAGAGTGGCGAGGTTCATCAGCATCGTGCGGCTGGCGTTGGTCACGTCTGTTACGTGGCGGCCACCTTTTGGCCCACCTGTCAGGTTCTGGAAAAACATTTTTTTCCCTCAAATCTACATGTCTGCGGCAGAACTAATCCCCCGTTCTGCCTTTTATTCATGACAGTGCCTATTGCTATCACCTTTTTAATGCATATTTGTGCTTTTGCATTAATTTTTTTTCTCACAACTCATTTATTAGCAAAAAAAAAAAAAAAAAAAACTTAGCCAAATTCATGAATTCCATTTTCTTGAGGTAACTATTAAACTGATCATCAAAAATTTCATAATTAGAAGATCTTTTATTATTGACAGTGCCTATTGCTATCACCTTTTTAATGCATATTTGTGCTTTTGCAATAATTTTTTTTCTCACAACACATTTATTAGCAAAAAAAAAAAAAAAAAAAACTTAGCCAAATTCATGAATTCCATTTTCTTGAGGTAACTATTAAACTGATCATCAAAAATTTCATAATTAGAAGAAGCCTGCCGGCAGTTTAAAAAATTTTTTCCTTGTGATATAAAAAAAAATAAAATAAATATATATAATTTGTTTTAAATAAAGTTTACGACTTCTGTTACTTTCACCAGAGCGTTATGAAATAATGATTTTTTTATATGTCTACAATACTTTTTTTCTAATTTGTTGCAATTTCATCTAAACAACTGTCTTTATTACTTTTTTTGATTGATTGATTGAATATTTGTATAGGGCTTGTATCCATGCTATTTTAGCATGCTCACAGCGCTCTCAGAGATGGCAATGGCGTCACAGGCATTATCGGAATGGTCCATTGTTTCAAAGTTAGCCGCCTATGGGATGCCATCTCCAGGTTTGAATTCAGAGTATCCTTATCTGAGATGAGTTTCCATCCAAGACTAACAATTCCCATCCACCTTGGATGGGCTCAGTTTAGACCACTCAGCCACCCAGCACTCAGTACTTCTACTCTTACAATTTACACCAATTGTACATTTTAATCTCTTAATAAAAATTTTTTTTTTTGGATTAAAATCAATTACAATACACACACACATACTATTGAAACCTATTCCAATCAATCAAAACACTTAAGCCAAGGTGTGGGAGATCATAAGAATGATGGGTCAATATATTCAATACTTGCCAGGATTGGTCACAACATACTGGACAAGGCTTGGAAACACACTGCATATCACTCACCCAGAGAAGCCAGGAGTCCACCGTACCAAATAAACACCTGCCATCTTCTACGGCTTTCCTTACTACCTCAGAGTTGTCCAGTAGCCATCGAAGCTTTAAGGCACTGAAGTAGGTGGCCAAAGGGAGACCACACAAGGCCTGGAAGAGAACAAAGTTTTGAGCAACAATTGTGTCGAGATAAATCTGAATCTTAACAAATTAATCAAATAATATCAAATAGTTACCGAGTTGAAAAGAACGACGTTTTTAATATCTGTTGTTTTTTTCGGAATTAGATTTTTATTGCTCTTCTTATGCACAGCCTAATGTTTGACAAATTTGTATGTAATATATTAACCAAACAAGAACAGAATAATGAATAAAGTAAATACCCTTAGGTAATCTTTGTTGTGACCAGGTGTTTTCTTGATCAGCTGTTCCACAGTTGAGGCAGTACGAAGATCCAACCAGACTGAAAAAAAAAACAAAAAAAAACCTCAGTTTTAAAATATCATATATTTGAAGAACAATTATTACTATTTAGATTTTTTTAACGTTTAGGTGAATATTTTCTAGCAAGGAATGATAGTAAATAAAAGTGACAACAGACTTATATAAAGCTCCATTTTTATTGTCAAACTGGCTATAAATGTAAAATAAGAAATGAGATTTTGTAAAACATTTAAAGATGCTTGCAAAAGGGAAGGGAAGCCAACATAGAAATCAATGAATAGGAGATCATCACTGAACAACTTTCCAGCCGGTCAACAGCAGTGTATGAAAGAGTAAAAAAAGCAGAAGATGTTGCGAAATGAAGCCGTTGTGGAAAAAAAAAGAACATTATGGAAGGCCAAATTTAACCAGGGGTGAAGTTTCTCCTGCAAAAAAGTGCCACTGAGTCTGACATTACAGCCATTTGATGAAGTGTTTATAGCTACTCCATCGCCCCGTGAAGAAGGAAGGATGTATATAAATTCATTTTTTTATATGACAGGATGATATGAATTTGACGTTAACTTTAACAACTGATGTTAACGGAGTGTCACTTGGTTTGAAAATGCTGTGGCTTTTAAATATTCATATACCTTTCTGCTTTAAAAACTCATTAACATTAAGACTAAAACTGGAGTCATGTTAGAAATGGGCAATTAATTGCAAATATACTGCAAAAAAAGTAGTGAGTGGGGGTAGAAAACAATGTTAAGTTTCAAGGCAAAACACAATATTAGAAATACCAATTGCATTGTAAAGTGGTTTCCCTGTGGTTGGGTCCCATACGATAGTCGTTTCCCTTTGGTTTGTGATACCAATGGCTGAAAAGTAAAAGAGAAAATTGTAATTTGTGCTTTTACATCAACACTCTGTGAAAGACAAAGTCAGACATTTCAAGAGTGTAATTAAATTTATTTTAATTTTAATTTTGTAACTTAACAAAATAAATTAACCAAATAAATACTGGGAGTCTTACATACACAAGTATTTAAGGAAACGATAGGACACGTTGAATCAATATATCCTTACAAGCACGGGTCTCATGCCCATGAGTTAAATCTGGGTGGCTGCCTCTATTTTTTTTACTGGTAACTGCTTACCATCTGCATGTAGTAACCCTTACCATCTTACATTCATAAGTATATATGATATGTTATTCATTAGTTCATCAACATTACAGTACACAAGAATAAATTTAGCTGCGTTTACAAGTATAAGTTTCAGAGGAATGTCCAGATGCTGATATTTCAAAACAAGAAACTAACCCTGTCTGAAAACACAATCACAATTTTTACTTTGAACTGGTTGCAAATTTCCGAAAATAACCCATCACCCAAGAAGATCATAGTTTCTTTCACGCCTCAATATATTTTACTCTGATCGCAGCTATAGTGTAACACAAGCAGTGAACACTTAACACCTAACACATTTGAAGCCAATGTGAATTGCTCAAGGACTTACCCTTCACGTCAGTTGTTTCAAACCCTAGACCTATAAGATTGTCTGTGGCTTTGTCAATGCATGTTTTGGTTGACAACAATATTTCCATTGGATCCTCCTCCACCCATCTGGAGATAGATGATCAAAGGGAAAAGTTCTCTTAAAATTTTTTTATGAAATTACTCTTCTAATTCTGAGTCTCACACATAGTTTGTTTGTAATCTATTTTAAATAAATATGAAATAATGATAGTGATATTTATTTTTTAAGTAATATTTATTTTTAAGTTTCCATTAATAACATTGAAGCCATTGCAATTAAATTAAAATGTAAGGCTGCATAACTTACCCTCCTTTAGGATAGCTTTGTTTGATTTCTGTCTGGTGGTAGGTGACAACTTCAGCTGTGTCTGCATTAAAAATCTGGGAGAGGGTAGAAATATATCCATCTCATAACTCTAGCATAAATAAATCTTGCAACTACCAAAAATATCATGATATTACATATTAAATAATAATTGGCCAACATGACATGTTGGAAATTTGTTAGGCCAGGTCCTTGATTTATTTCTAGCGGCATAAATTTAATTGGTAAGTTACAAGAAAATTAATATTAATATTAAAGACTAAAAATAAATGAAAGCACATCGATTTGGATTTTTTTTTAGTATAGTCAGTATTAAATTATATGCACAAATAAATACTATTTTAACAAACAATATTTATGATGATCAAAATATTGTAACTCTTTAAAAAAAACTCTAAAATTCTCAGTTGAGTTTTTGTTAATGTTGATTTTAACTCCCAAGCCCAGGTTGGAGGAGGGTTGGTGTGAGACCAAATACCTCACCTGCAAAAAACAAACTGCTAGGCTACAAAAAAACATCAAAAAGATTTTAAAAAAAAAAAAAAAAATGTCAGTCCAGATAAATGAGGGCTTTTCTGCCCCAAGAAGAGTTATGAACTATTGTGGCCAAAGCCAGGTTATACTGGAAGATTCAAATCCGAGGACCCAAGCTACAGGCAGCACACAAAGTAGGGGACACACCTGGAAGCAACTTGAAAGTAAAGCACAGGACTGAACTGAAAGGAAAATTCTTGTAGACAGCCTATGCCCAGGTGGGGTAAAAGGCATAAGTAAGTAATGTTGTATTTAACATTAATTTTTTTTTTTTGGTTCTAAGTGAAGAACAGTGAGAAATCCACTCTCTTTAAAATGTGTAGAATCAAACTGAGGAATGGTGCAGACTATATTGACTAAACTATTAGTGATTTAGGTTAAGGACACCACCACATCTATGACTATAAGTATAAGAATAATAATGCTAAAAGAAATCTTGACTTTATGAGTGTGGATGCTAGGTCACATCACATGACTATTGTATTTTGTTAGTTATTTTAATTAGGTCTAGGCTGAGAAAATCCAGGCTAGTAAACGGAGAAGTGACAAGTACACCACTACTAAAGTTAAAAACTAGTAATACTAATGAATACTAATTATACTATACTATCTAATTAAATTGTAATCTCTTAAATTAGATCTCAATCTGGATCTCAAATGAATTATTTTCTAGACTACTAATTTGACTCCAGTAGTCTACATCTAGGGCAGGAACTAATGGGATAAATATGGTGTTCATAGACATAATAACAGTAAACTGAGTACGTTTGTAAAAAAACTAATATATAGGGTAAAAGGGGGTAATAGGCTCCATGGGGAATTAAGCCCCAATTGCTCAGTTCATACAATAAAATGCTTGATACTATTGTAAGAAGAGAGAAGGGGATTAAGCTCTACTTTATTAGAGACTTACTAACCAATCGGAGAACTTTTCACAACCATTCTTGGCTTTCTAACCTATGGGATGATTTTTTTAATTTGCCTTTTTAGATGAATGCTTTTCCCCTCTAGTTTTCAGCTTTCTTCAAACTGTTTGTAAAACTTCAGCTAAGCCAGTGCTTGCTTTGCTTTTACTTGAAATTCTATTTCTACATTGAGAGTTTTTAGTTTCCATACAAATACATGTACAGATAAACTAAGTAAGTACTTTTTAAAGTTTTTGTCTATATGTGTGAGTAATGAATGAGTTAAAATACTGATATTTGTAGAGCAAATGAAGCTGGCCATTTTGGCAAAGTGAAATGGCTGTTGGATGAATGATTTAGAGATTGTTTTTAAAAATCTCTAAATTTCCCTTTAATCCTAAAGTTTCTTTCAATATTTTGAATAGAAAGCATTAGTAAGAGAAATATGGTTCTGTAGATTATTTATTTATTTAATTAAATTAGTTTATAAAAAGAAATATTTTAATTAGCAGGGGCTCAATACCCTCAACTGTTAAAAAAGATGATTAAAACAGCCAAATAATATTGATCAGATTAATAAAATCAATGTTTTTAATTCAATAAAAATTACACAGAGAGAGTTTAAAATGAAAACAAAAGTTATTAATTTGTAGAAATAAGTTTAAAAAAATTTAAATGCAGTTTTGATAGTGGAACTTATTGCCCCCTTTATTTTGCAGAATGGTTCGGACCTAAAAAAAGAAAGAGGGAGAAGGCAGGAAGTCCTGTGCAACTAACCAGACAATGGCAGATGCCTACAATTCTGTCATGAGTAAGCAGATGTCTGCCAACTGGGAATCCAAGCATTGGAGTTGATTTAAAACAGTAAATTCTCATTAAGGGAGGCAAACTGCTTTGACACCTGATCAAGAAGAACTGGCACACTGCCTTATTGTGTAGCCTCAGTGGGGCTGGGGTTTCAGTAAAGAGGAGGTGAAAGACATCATTCAAGAATTTGTGAAGGAAAATGATCTTCAAATGCCTTTTGTGGATGGTCAACCTAGTAGGGACTGCTGGAGTGGCTTCATGAGACGCCATCCGAAAGTGGTCGTAAAAAAAAACCAGAACACACTCTAAACAAGGATGCTATTGAAGCATGTTTGATTTGTGAAGCAACTGAGAGAAGAAGCAGCAAAAAAAGATAAAGCTCCAAGAAAAAAGACCATGAGAAAAAGAAGAAATCTTCCAGATGGGGAGCATAGTGACAGTGATGAGGACGATAATGACACTGTGTGCCTTAAGTGTGGTGTTCATGGAGGACGAGGAGAATGGGTGTGTTGTGACTTGTGTGACATTTGATACCATGTTAAATGCACAAAAATCCCAGAAGAAGGTGATTTTGAAGCAATGGAGTGGTTCTGTAAGAATTGCCTACAACCTATGTGAAAATATTTGCATTAAACATGCTGGAGCTTATCGCCCCCATTTAGTTAAATATAAGTCAAAATTAGTTTTAACTTTTAAACCTTTTTTGGCAATCCTCCGTAGTCCGGTCCCAAATTATTTCCAATGATTACTCCTTGCTTAAGAGTCTTAGGCATCATTTTTTTTTGAAATTCATTTTTGCGTATATATTTCAATAAATTTGTTAAATTATGGCAAATTATGTTAAAATCGAGTGCATTATCACTAATTATATTTTACCAGGAACAACTATTATCACGGACGCTTGGCGAATATCAATATGTCGATTAGCTCAACAATGGGATTTATGATCACACTGTCACTCTGCACGCGCATGAATTTGTTGATCCAGTAGACCAGGACCTTCACACAGAAACTATTGAAGGACTTAGGATGCATGCGAAATGTAAATTCCGCTATCAGAGTGGTATCTGTCACTGTCTGTTTGCCAGCTACTTGGGGGCCTTTCAGTCGCGCCACAGTCACATTCAGAAAGTTTTATGCTGCTATTTGCAAATGATATGCGCCAATTACAATATTTAGTATTTACTTACTGGTTTGTAAAGTGACAGTTATTTGCAAAAGCTATGATTGACATTTCTGCTGTTTTCTAACAATAAACACTGTGCATTGTAATTTTTTTTCATTCAAAATAATTTGGGACCGGACTTCGGAGGATTGCCCCTTTTTTGCTCTATATTGACTATATAAATATATAATGGATTTAAATTTTGCTCATTAAAGTTAAAGCTTTTGTAAAGAAAGATGGGTAATCTACCACTTGAGCGTCGGCCAAGAAAAAATCCAGTTTTTCCGGTGGGAAGGGCTATTTAAACAATTATTCTTACATTGGAGTCCGTTAATATTTTTCCTTCCCTATAGGCTATAAAGTTATATAGCACAATACTAATACATTTAAATAATGATTACTGCCAAGCTATTGATATGCCAGGAAGACAAAGAGACTACAATAAAGCCGATGTCCAATATGTTTGATACAGATCAGATACGAGATGAAGAAGAATGGTGACTGTCCACACTACTGCTGAATTTGTCAGACCCCTTATTCAGCACCTAAGATGGTGCATTAACAAAATAATTTTTTTTTTATCCAGATGACGCGGATATCCACATAAAGAGTGTGGAAAACGTGGATGCTCAAAAAGCGTAAACTGAAAAGACAGTTTGGCACAAGCCGTGATCTTTCCCCTTCATATTTACGTGAATTCATGTACTGGTACCACAACAGATTTTGTGGAACTTATATTTTTTTAAACTTCATTGTCGCCTTGGGGGAGAAATATGCATAATTCCATTTTCAAACATTAAATTTTTTAAATTCTTCTATTTCAAATTTTTTAAATAGTTTTTCTATAAAAAAAAAAATGTTCTTGTGTGTTTGTATTAGTACTATTGTTATGGGAATGAATACGTACAACCAATGCCATTAAAAATAGTATAAGAATAATTGTTTAAATAGCCCTTCCAACCAGAACAGCTGGATTTTTTCTTGGCCGACGCTCAAGTGGTAAATTACCGAAAGATGTGCGGTCTGTTACTTAAAAACATTTGCAGGTTGAATTTAATATTTATTTATATTAATTAAAGGGAAGAACAAAAAGTTATTGAAAACATGGTGCTTAAATGGCTTAATGCCCCCGATACCCTACTTCTAGTGATCTCATCCAATCCTTATTTCTTTTTATTTTTTATTAGTAGGCCCTACCTACTAGTCGTAACTAGTACTTAGGTCTTAGTACCAGTACTAGTAGTCTAGTACTCTTAGACTCTTAGTTTAGTTAGATTTTAATTTTAGATCTAATCTTAGTAAGATAATCACCAGAAAACGAGTACTGCTTGTTCCTTGATCAACAGCACCAATAAGATTTGTTTTTCCTCTATTGTTTATTGGCTCCCCTATTTGATAAGATGACATGATTTCCTTAAAATTTTAACAACTAGTTTTATCGAGGCTGGAGCGATCTATAATCTTTTCTAACTTTTCGAAACACAGTTCTCAGTGTTTTGTAAACATAATCAGGACAAATAAAATGAATAGTCGATTATATCAATTTTATTTTAGAACCGATGAGTAAAGTTTTATCTTGAAAAGTGATTATAATTATGTTTAAAGTAAGCACAATAAATATTTTTTTTAAAAAAGGGAGTTCCATTTATCTAATTCTATGCGTGATTAAACTGATAGTAAATAGAAGTTAAATTAATGTTAGAACTTATTACAGTAATGATAAAGTATCGATTCACATAGTAAATTGAAGTAGCATCCCCTTTCAAGAAGGATCACTCTACTCTTGAGAAAAGTCTGAAGTTTATATTCAAAATTAGTTTTAATCGATCTTATATCTTCGTATAGGTATATATGACATGGGTAATTTTTTTTAAAAAAGTATACTTTTGTACAATAAAATTTGCATTTTTAAAGCTCTACGTTAAACAAAGCACTGAATTCCAATTCCACGTAGGCCTATACTATACATTTCACCCTCAACCCCCGCCCCTTTTTGATGTTTGTAAATCTTTTTTATAATTAACCGAAAATCTCACAAACTCCATAATTTATAGGATATAAGTTATATCAACATATACGCAGTAAAAATAAAAAGATAATTAATAACGTGATCCATCAATTTCTGAATATCCAAAAGTGTGTAAAAGTGTGTGTGTTGGGGGTGTCACCTTTTAACAGGAAACCTGTAACTGCAGGCCAAAAAAAAACAACAACAAAAAACAACATTATATGAAGTTTTAGTCAGTGTACTCACAGGCTTGGAAATTAAAATTTCTGTAAAAATAACGTGTTTCACCATTTTATTTTTTATTTTTTGGTGTGGGGGTAGACAAAAATGAGTTTTGTAGGGTAGTCGTTGCAGGGCATGCAAAAACTTTGTGAGTTCTAATGCATACTTTGAAGATTAATAACGAAAAGTCCCGACTTCTAAATTTGATCCAACCCCTCCTCTCTATCCCCCGACACAACCCTCCATGTTGTCCAACTTACTCCCATACTCTGAACTATTATTTAAATGTGCATACTATTATAATATATCAATGTTACATTTTATTTAGTTAATAATACGAATTAACATTTACACGGATGTTCACCAGAGCCGTCATTACGGCAACGGGGGGGGGGGGGGGGGGGGGGGGCGGCGGGGGAAAAATATTGCACGGGGGCCCCTATTCCTCTATATACGCGGGGCCGTGCGAAAGTGGATATTACCCTGGCACCAACCTCAAAGGGCGCCATAAGCATTTATATATATATGACCTTATAGTGAATTTAACGATAAAATCCCATTTACTTCACAAAGACAGGGGCGCCAAAGTCAGCTTTTTACTAGATCTCTCCAGGCAGCTCTTGTTCATATATATTGAGGGGCAACATTGTAAGGCCTCGCCCTGGGAATGCCACTTGTTACAGAATGGCTCCATCTAAAGCCAACTATGCGAGTTATGTTATGAAAAGCCCTATGGCCCGGGTTGATCCGTGCGTTTTGATAATTTTCTTTCCAGGTAATTTTATCCCCGGGGGTCTGGGAATAGTATTTAAGTCGTTCGGGATTGGTGGGGGGGGGGGGGCGGGTTGAACTATCAGCACCAAACTCAGGCATTTGGACGCCCAGGGCCAGCTTTGACTTCGCCGCCCCGTCATACTTTACTATACATTCACTATGCTAATGGTTATGCATTTAGCCTCAGCTTAGATTTGTCCCTGGAATCTACATAGACCAACTGCATTTATCAAACTAAATGTAAATCATATTTTTTTTCCGTTAAAGAAAATAACTTTAATCACTGACAACCAGTGCCTTGTTACGTTGCCCTAGAAAATTCCAAACTATCTAGTTGTTTGAACTACTTCATCACTGTTTTTATACCCTTTAACATTGTTTACAAAATAATTTTGTTTGTTTGTTTGTAAAGTTGTTCAAAAGATATACCAATAATGATTAACAATATTGGCAGCATTAGAAGCGTGTGGCTCTCTAGAGACGCGAGGCACTGGGCAACTGCCCAGTGTGCCCATGCTATAAGTTTAAGACAACTCCAACTGTGTGGATAGGTATGGAGGTTCTGCTGAGTGGGAACCGGCTTATTCTCCAAAACAAAATCTCGCCTAGGTTTTGTCATTTCGGAACTTACGCGAAAAAAAACAACAAAACACGCCATCGCCTCGTGGAGACGAATGATGTACCACAAGAAAAGAGAAACAAAATTTCAAACACAGTACACACGAAATAAATTATTCAAAACCAACAAAAATAGATTTCTGATAGACGCAAATACTTTGGATTATTGTTAACAATCCAGTCTTGATTTTTTTTTTCCATACGCTTACTTAAAATATTCTTTCTGCATCGTAATCGAGATTTTAAAAAAAAATCTTGTAATTTAAACTATGTTTATAATGTGTTAACGCAGAATAGAGAAAACACACGTTTGACTTTTGTACACATCCATTTAGTAAAGCTTGTATTTTTTTTTTTATTTGTGTGTAGATTAATGGGGCGTGTAGTGGACTAATGAATAAACGATTTGATAGGTCTGAAAGATTTGAGTGTTGGCGCAATTGAAAGCCTCGAAGTAAGACCAACCGGAGAATTTAGTAGCAGGATTGGAATCCATTTCTAACAATACAGATTGATGGGTCTTAACACACGGTTACTTGCCGTGGTGTGTGCAGGCAATACTGAAAGGGCCTCGTGTTCACGGAAGCTTTGTGTCGTGGCGGGTGAACATGTTTATGTCGGACGCAGACGACAGCCGTTTCACCTTAAGGCAGACAGGTGTAGTGACGTCATCTTGTAAGGCATGACGTTAAAATACAATCTTATACATTGAATTAATAATGTATCCTCACCTTTGTGTGCGTGATGAATAGATGTTGACACAACGTGTGGTAGGATAATAGATCAGAGTCTTTCAATTGATCTTTGAAACGTTTTGAAAGTTTCAACTGCTTTTGTGTGTGTATTACTTACATTTTTCTTTTAATTGTGTAGGACAACGCAATGATAAAAATATCATATTACACAGTGATAAAAAAATCATATTACGCAGTGATAAAAGATCATGTTACACGATGATAAAAGATCGTACGACACAATGATAAAAGATCATACTACACAAGGATAAGAAGATCATATGTGGTGTAAAATTATAAACCGCTATACTAAATAGTGGGTCGTTTTAAGTTTACCTGTGTAGTCCATATCATATTGTACCATATTATGTATGATTAATTTACATAAGACCTGTGTAGCATTTTAAGCTATGGTGATAGCTTAGTTTGTGGTTCAATAGAATTATTATTTGTTAAAATGTCTACCGATGGTGCAATGCAAAGTTTCAACCCTAGCTATTCAAAGAATTTCATATTAATCCTGGTTCTGGTTCTGGTAGTGCTCGTTGCTGCATTCATATACTGGCATCTGTGCAACGGTTGGGGAAGCGATGTTGCTATTGTAACAGCCCCTAGCAGATGCCAGGGCAGCCTTGAAGCTTTCGACCGATGTCGAGTCCACAGCGGCATTGTCCAGGTGGTTCCAAGCAATTATTGTGGGTGAGAAGAATGATTGTTTATACTGCACTGTGTTACACCGAGGCACAGTGAAGCATTTGCTATTGTTTCAGGTGTAATTGTCTATGGGGTTGTCAGTGGTGAAGTCAGTGTTCAGTGAGCGCTTGGCTCTGATCAATCGACCCGGCCTCTGTGGGGTGAGGTACGTGCCTGCTGAGATGGCCGGCACCAGCCCCATGACCACTTTATATAGGAATATCAGACGGAGCCCCTCCCGTCTGTCTTAAGGAAGGGGATGTCAAATTGTTTTATAAGGCCAGTGACGAAGCCAGAAGTGGTGGATTTGTAGTCACGTGCGATGAAGCGCACCGCGTTACGTTGGATTCGCCCCATCTTGTCAACGTCTTGCTTTAGGTGTGGATCCCAGATGATCGCACCATATTGTAGTAGTGGACGGACGAGAGCAAGATAGGCATATCGTTTGCAGGAAGTTGGGCAGTGGCGCAGATTTCTTCGAATGAAACCTATTGTGGAGTTGGCTTTTTTTTTTAAATTTTGTTTATTTGGGGTAAACATTTAAGGTTATTTGAGAAGAGAATTCCAAGGTATAGATTATTTGATACTTGTTGGAGAGTTGTCTCGTTTAGTGAGTACATATAGGTTGATATTTTTTTTTCTTGAGATGCTCGTCGTGTAGCATATGGTTTCATAAAATTGCATGCCCCATTTGTCCGCCCAATTCATAAGGCACTTCAAATCTGCTTGGAGGTGGTTGTGGTCATCGAAGCCGTTTATCTTTCTGTAGACAAGACAGTCATCTGCAAACAGCCTCTCTTGAGATTTTGATTTTACAGTATCGGGGAGGTCGTTTATATGACAGAGAAAGAGAAGGGTTCCCAGCACAATGCCTTGTGGAACTCCTGAGTCTACGGTGGCTTTCCCTGATTGGACGCCGTCTACCACTACTTGCATGGTACGTTGTGTTAGGAATGTTGAGAGCCAGGAGTGAAGGTTGCCGGTAATGACGTAGTGGTGGAGCTTATGTAGAAGAAGGCTGTGTGGAACAGTGTCGAAGGCCTTGGAGAAGTCGAGAATTGCCATGTCGACCTGGGTAACTTTGTCACAGGAGACAAGGAGTTCATTGGTAATTTAAAATTTCAAAATCTTTAAAAGATAAATAAATAAATAAATAAATATATATATATATATATATATATATATATATATATA